ATATATTTCTATCAAGTTGACTACCTATTTCGCTGGTTGGAGTGGATACTATAGATATCTCCAACTGTATACAGATGACAGAAGAGAGGCAGGGGTTCTGTGGTTTGGTCAGTGCCTAGGGCAGCTAAAGAAAGCTGTAATAGGATGTGTGTGATCTATAATGGGAAGTGAAGAATGTGCAAAATGGGGCAGGTCATATTGGCTGAGGGAAACCACAGCATTAAAGCAAAAGGCAAAAAAGTCAGGGAAGATGCCGTGTGTAGATGGAGTATAGATTTGACGGAATAGCCGGTGTGGATCAGGAGAACAAAGCTCACACCTGTTGGTGCCTGATATAAGTAGCACCATGCTAGGGTTTTGAATACATTTGTCTCATTTCTCACCACATATCTCTGAGTGATGAAGGATTGTATCCCCATTTTACTTCTGAGGGACTGAGGCTCAGGAAAGCCACTAGTGGTTGTTCCCTACTGGTGGTCGAGGAGTCCACATTTGAAGTCAGTTTGTCTTAACTTGGAAGTTGTCCTAATAGGCCAGATATCCCTCCACTGTATCATTCCATTGTGCTTACAAGGTTAGCACTGACTCCCATTCTCAGGCATTGTGGAAGGGTTCTGAGCAGGAATGGGCGTTCCCAGAAGTGCTCATCAGGGAAACGTGGAGGTAGGATGGAAGGCAAAAGTAGCCATCACCACCATTCTAGTCCATGGATGGTGGCCTGTAACATCTCACACCCAGACACTGGAGTCATTAAATGACTATTGTCAGAACTCTAGTTTAGTTGCCACCTTGTCCAGTTAAAATTCTATGCCCTCTTTCCTATTATCTTTTAGTAGTACATGGGTTCCACTATGTCATAATTCTGTTTTTTCCAGGTTTTTTTTTTTTTTAGATATACATGACAGTAGAATGTATTTTGACATATCATACATACCTGAAGTATAACTTCCCATTCCTGTGGTTGTACATGATGTGAAGATACACTGGTCATGTGTTCATATGTGAACACAGGAAAGTTATGTCTGATTCATTCCACTGCCTTTCCTATTCCCATCCCCCTTCTTCCCCTTCATCTAATTCAGTGAACTTTTATTCTCCCCCGCCCATCCCTTGTTGTAAATACCTTTTAGCTTCCTTAACCAAAACTTCTTCAAGTATGACTAACCCTGGACTAATTACTAAATGCCTGAGAAATTCTTCATAATCCATTACACCTCTGAGATTTATAACTGATGATAAACTCTGACAGAAAAGATGTGCCACCTACCGAAAATGACCTTTCCTTTTATACTATGTCTGGAATGGTATATCAACAAGAAAAATGTAGAATATCTATTTTTCATATTTTAAAAACACATCTGGAACTGTTTAAGTTGAAGTCAAAGAAGTGCCAAGGCAGATTATGCCATACCTTCTCTTTTTTACTTAAAAAAAAAAAAAAAAGGAAATGGAAAACATACCACTTCTAGAAGGCCCTGACAATGAATTGGATATTGAAATGGTGTCAATAATGTATTTATATATGCCACATTTTCTTCCATGCATCAGCCATCTTTGGTACATATGTGTTGGATATTTGCCAAGTGAGAGAAATCTTACCAGATAGAGAAGATCACCTTGTTTATAAGTGGTGTGAATCATTATGATAGAAGTAAAGTCAGCCCTTTCTGATTAGAATTACCTTCCCTGCCTGATCAAATAGATTTTTATCTCTTTTTCCTCTTTCTTTCTCTTTCCTCCCCACTCCTTTTTTTTTACCTCCTCCTCCTTCTCTTTCTCATTTTTTAAAAAAATCAGTTCATGTCATTCTTTCAATAAATGTCAGCATTCCCCTCCAGCAACTAAAAAATAGAAATTACATACCAGAAAAGTATAATTTTCATGAACTTAAAAAATTACATGAGATATACTATAACTTAATATTGGTTTTACCATGTCCTCTAATTTGAAATGGAGTGAAATGCTTCTGTGGTTAAATCATAGCTCTTGTGCTGTTTGCTATAAAAGTTTCAAGAAAATATATTTCAGAATTTTTTTCCCCAAATAATCCAAAACAAATGCAGCAGAGCTCAGAATACTTGAAACATATTTTCTGAATTTATCTTAAATATCTCTGCTCCAGAGGGTTTTTGTGTGTGTATGGATTAGGCCCAGCCCGTTATTTCACCATCTATCTCCATCCTGGATTGATTGCTCTGAACAGCACAGAATGAGTTACATATGGTCCCACTTTGTCTCAGTTTGTAGGACCTCTGGGTTGGAACTCCATTTGATCAGAGGGAAGCCAACCATCGCAGAAATTTGGCTAATGTCAAAATGCTATATATATATATATATATATATATATATATATATATGTATATATACATATATATATATATGTATATACACACACACACACAAACACACACATACATATATTCCAGTTAGAATGTATATGTCCTGTTTTGGACGGTGGTATTTTTCTGTCCATTGGTTCAATGGTTACTATGCTGAGAATGTTGATGGTATTTTAAACATGAAAAAAGAAATCACCTACCTATTCTGATGATGGTGCTTTGTACAGGAACCATGTTACAAATATGGACTGAGACTGGTATGTAATATGTTTTCCAGTCAAAATTATGAATAAGTCAAAAATCTGTCTCAAATTGAGATGAAGATAGAAATAAAAAGATTATTATAAATATAAATTCAGATCTCAGATGTGAAGAGGAGACCCATTGACAGCTTCATTGATAGTCTGCAGCCTATTTTCTTAATGTGGGCTATTTTGAAAAGAAAGAAGCATGGGTTTGAGTTCTGTTTTAAAGTCTGTGTTTGGCCCTTAACTGTTATGAGGATAGGATGGTGGAGCTGTGGCCATCAAGGGTCAGCTCCAAGGCCAGGGCACATGGATCCGTGAGGGCAGCTCTTCCCTGGAGACTCCTGTCTCTCTGTTGTTCTTTTCCCTCTTTTTTTTTTCTTTCCTTCTACTGCTTATTTGTTTTTTCATTCCTTCCGTCTCCCCTTCCCCCTCCTGCTCTTCCTTTCTCTGTCTGTGCAACCACGTGCTTCGAGTCTGTGTATCTGGACTGCCTTCGCTAACAGTTCCATGTGAGTGTTAGCAGAATGAAAGCCAGATGGACCAGCAGTTCCCACTGTTATCTCCCAGCCGACTCTGGCAAGCCTCCCTCTCTCCCTCCTTTCTTGGCATGACAGAAATATTTGCCTTTATTTAGGGAGACTTGTATTTGCTGCTGTACCTCTTCCCTCAGCGGCAACATAAGCCGAAAGCTATTTATTCCCTTGTTGCTGAGGTTGGTTGAGGTGAGTAGAATGTGCAATGAATTTATTGAAGAAGCAGTTTTAAGTCTGCCTAACTTGTGTATTTTTTCTAGAATAAACGATGTACTGATACTACTTTCTAAATGCTCTGGAATAACAATAGGAAAACAAGTTTTTGAACAATAAGATAGAGGTAGAAAAACTCTCTATGTGTCTGCTATCGTTTCACTCAGGACACTTTTATAAATCTAGGACATTTACGGTTCAGCCAGCAGTAAAAAGGAAGAAACAGAGACCCTGATACTGTTACCTGATCACCATACAAAGTGTACTTATTAGAATTATTATTTTTATTCTTTTTATCACATCTTTCTTAATATGGTATCAATATTATTTTGATTTTTAAAAATATTTTATTACAAACTAAGTCTAAAGAAATTGTTTTGAACAAAGGTGAACTAGACTTGGAATTTTTTTGGGGGAGGGGTAAGGGTTGAACCCAGGGGTGCTTAACCACTGAGCCATATCTTAAGCCGTTTTTTTTATATTTTATTTAGAGACAGAGTCTTGTTGAGATTTGGAATTGTTGTAGTAACTTGGGCTTTTCATTTTCTTTTAATAACTGATTTTTAAGTAATATTGAGAAATTTTCACTATGATTATAATATTTTAAAAGGCCTGTTCTTGAATAGTTTGTTATGTTACTTTGCTAAGACTTTGAATAAGAAATATTTGTGAGCTGTGGAAGCATCTAGAAATATTTTTGGTTTGTATATACACAAATATTTATAGGAAAGTTGATCTAAAGAAACAACAACAAAAAAACCCACTTCATTTTTCCCGGAGATTTATTGCTTTAATAAGTAGATTGGATTGAGAAAAACTGTTCAAGATTTCAAGGGAAAAGTATACTTACGAGACTATAGTTCTGCATTATAAATGTTCATTGTTGAGTAATCAGGAAAATTCTCTGTATCTGCCTCATACTTAAAAAAAATAGGCGTGTCTTTAGATTTTATTAGTTCTCAATTTGGGGCTTTTACATGCTGACTTGTCTGAGATTATTAATTGGAGTTTTGATCTCATGTTTTTAAAGTGACAGGTCAAAGATGCACACATTCTTAAGTAAATAATAGCTTGACTTCATTGTGAAACTTATAGCATTTATGTAGTGGTGATTTTTAAAGCAGGGAAGATAAAATTAAAGGGAGAGATATGTCTGTGAGACATAATGTGTTTCATCTAATAGGCCAAAAAACCAGGCATATTGAAAGGGGATGGCAGGTGTTACAGAAATTCATCACAGAACCAGCTCCTGCCAGTGTCTCACCTGCATAACAGACTTTGGTTTTTGTTATTTCTGGGCTGTCATAAGGGGTTCATTATCATCCTTCTTCCTCATCTATTTTCTGCTTCTTGCTAATGTTGGCTTCAGCTTTGAGTGAAGTTGTGCTGTTGCATATAACACTACCAAGGTAGCATCTGCCCAAGCCAGAAATAACAATAGGATATAATATAACCTAGTTACAAATGAGGTCTTGCCATCTGTGCTACCCCTTCTTAAGTGGAGTTTGGATGATAAAATCCTGATTTAAACTTTCGTAGATAAGCGCAGTTTATTGATAGAAGATGTTGAATTTCTTCTGTTCACTTGCTTTTTAAAAAGATAAATCCCACTTGAAACACTGAGGTGCTTAGGCATAGAATAACCTGTTCCTGGTGGCACCCTCCAGATCGTACTGAGAAGCACTCCACAATGCCAGACTCACCTGTGGATGTGAAGACGCAATCTAGGCTGACTCCTCCAACCATGCCACCGCCCCCAACCACTCAAGGAGCTCCAAGAACCAGCTCGTTTACGCCAACAACATGTAAGTAGTCATTTTTTTGGATTTTATGTTTTGGTTTTGAAGATTAAATTAATTTTTTTTTCCTGCAAATAAAAAGGGAAAAAATGTATTATGCAGACACGCAGCAAAAAAATCAGTTTGCTAGTCAGTAGTTATCCTATCTTACGTCTTCTTGACATGGCTGCCAATATTTGCTTTCCTTTGCACTATTTCTTTGGAGTTGGAGTCTCCTATGATTCTAGCAAAGGAAGAACATTGAGTTTGTTTGGTACCTCTACTTCTCACCCCTATAACTTTTAATTTTGTCTAATGTGGAGCTCTTTATTTTAGTTTATTTTGACTTAGAATATATTTCTAGGTTACTTCTGATCTTCTAATACCACTTTCCTTTATTTTGAATAATTATAATGTTAAAAATCTGGCTTCCTTAAGTTAAAAAAAGTACTGCTGTGCACAACAGTTTCATGCGGATACCTTTTGAAATTGGTAGCATCAACCTTGTCTTGAGCCTGTCAGGCTTTTGTTAAACCTTTGCTCCATTACCACCTAGCTTGAATCCTGTATTCCTAGCCAGTGGTGTGTATTGCTTTCTGTCTATCCCAGGAAAGGACATAACACTGACAGAGTAGCAACTTCCCTTTCTTTCCTGAATATTCCAGCAGAGAGAGGGAATAGCTTTGTTTTAGTTGATCTCAAAATTCTGTTTAGAATTGTCATCGAGGATTTGTGAAACTAATAAATGTTATCTGTTGCAGATAATACTATTTACAGACCATGTGCCATGAAATCCATAGGAAGGAAAAATAACTAACAGGCCAAAATAGATCTGTGGGACTATAAGGGATCAACAAAAATACACATCCTAAGCTGTTTATGCAGTGTTGTGCTGCCATTTAAAAGACCTTTCCAAATGTGTAAGGAACAGAAGATTGTGACGTGCCAAGTTGTAACCCTGTCATCTTACATTTCGCTTGTTGTTACCCAAAGTCACAGTGATAGGCATATGTCTCCTGTGAGATGGCTGCTGAGCTATCATTTCTTGACAGGTTACTTTGGTTCTCATTTGGGATAAAAGAACTACATTATTATCTTGAAATAAAACTGTAAGAAAAACTGGTTCCTAACAACTTCCTCAGAATGTTACTAGACATAGTTAATCACAATTATACTTAAAAATGGGATTGATACAGATTAATTTGGTAAATTAACTGAATTAAAATAATGGAATCATTATTTTCCTCAGTGAGAAATGTGCAAGTTTTTTCTAGCCTAGTTTGTATGGATTATTATCAATAATAATGAATTTCATTGGAAATAAATTTACTGAATTACTACCAAGCCATGCTCTTGGTTGGATTGAGGTGTCTCCTTTCAATTTCTTGAAATAACTCCTTGATAAATACCATATCCATTTGGGCTTCTTACGTAAAATTTGCATTTTTTCCCTAAATAAGTGGTTAAGAAATATGAGGGGGAGAAAATAGCCTTCTAATTGGGTGGTATAAGGTTAAAACTTGAAAGTCTATTTCTATAAACACAGCTGTCAGTTGTGTGTACAAAACATGATTAAAAATGTTCAGTGATAAATTTAGTCTCCACCAAATGTACACTTTCTCTAGGGGAGCAGTTTAGGAAGGAATAGTCCTGTTATATTGATGTAAGCCTGTGACAAAAGGCTGACTTGCAAAGCTGTTTGTTCTATGTTTGAAGCATTTCAGGTGGTTGGCATATGTGCACATGGGAGGCAGAGCTGGCCCTGTGTTTCAGCAGACTCCATTTATCATCAGCTTCTGTGCAGAATGCCATCTCTGAGTGTGTGGAATAGACCCATTTAGTGAGAGAGTGCCTGAGTCTGGTGATCTTGTGAAGTCTAATCATTTTGCAAAAAGTCCAGACATTTTTTGTAATTGCAAAATCACTAGATTTCAGGGGGAAGAAACTTGATAGCAATTTTCTTGTGCATGTTCTCTGTAAGTTTATTTATTTTATTTTTTCCTACTGATTTTGTGCCCTTGACAGTAACTAATGGCACAAGCCATTCGCCTACAGCCTTGAATGGCGCCCCCTCGCCGCCCAATGGCTTTAGCAACGGGCCTTCCTCTTCCTCCTCCTCTTCTCTGGCTAATCAACAACTGCCCCCAGCCTGTGGTGCCAGGCAACTCAGCAAGCTGAAACGGTTCCTCACTACCCTGCAGCAGTTTGGAAATGACATCTCACCAGAGATTGGAGAAAGAGTCCGCACCCTTGTGCTAGGACTAGTGGTAAGCAGACAGAAACCAACCCTGTTGTCTGTGGGTAGGGGAGACTGGGGCAGGGGGAGTCAGAAATTTAGACCCCATTCTCACAGCATTTTTGTGCTGTGAGACTGGAGGTTGTGTGCAAGTCTGATTTATTCAGTAACACATTTTCTAATTCTGCATTATATATATTGACCAACCCCCACCATGGTTTCTTTTATTATTTGACACATGCACACAAAAAAGAGATAGCTATACAAACTTATTGTTATCTAGTTCATAAATGCATGTTTTGTACATACATTTGTATCTGTGTATATGTACACGTGTTCATTTGCATATATGCACGTATTGTATGCATATGAATGTATGTACATGTATCTGTTAATATATATATATGTACATGTGTGTATGTATATTTCAATAAATATACTCTCCTGGCATTGTTAATGACTTTCACCAAATGACAATATGGTGTTGTTATGTTACTGACTCATTCTAATTAGGTGCTCATAACTGAGTTGCTTTGAGGGACTTTTATTATCGACTTCAACAAATAAGGATTTTAACAAGTCACACATTCTTCTTTTATGTTATTTCTTCTTTTATGCAAACAATTTTTAAAAAATGTTTTAATAACCATACATAAAATTTGCCATTTTGCCATTTTTAACTGTAGGATTCATGGACATTACATCTATCCATGTCACAGCTGTCACCAGAGTCCATCTCCAGAGCTTTCTCATTACTCCAAACTGAACCCTCTACCCATGAAACAATAACTCTTCATTTCTTCTCTCCCTAACCCTTGGTAACCATTAATTATTGTTTTGTTTTTAAACCAAATCTTGTTATAGATAGAATTACTTAAACTACTAAATTGAGAACAGAATTGTTGATTTTGGCATATTATATTGCATTTTGTGTATTATCACCCCCAAAATGAGAACATATATATCCTTTTTGCCCTAAGTCACTTTTACCTTTATTGAGATTTTCTGCACAAGCAGGGAATTTTATAGCATTTAGGAAGGCTATTTTCCCATAACAAACTGAGCCATAGAGGAGCTATAAGACATATATTCAGTCCTTTTATCCAGGCTTATGGTGAAACTGAAATTTGGATGATAGGCAGCAGTTTCCTTTTTCTAGAAATAGATCATTTATTTTTATTACAATCACTGTATCCCACATTTGACAGAGATTTTGCAATTGAAATTTTAGCCATTTCCTTTCCTTTCCAATCCAAGGGAAGAAGGCTATGCTATTTCCCACAGTCTCTCAGCTCACCTTACATACCTCCAGGACAGAAAGTGGGCTGTGGAAGAGGTGTGTCAGGATGCTTTAGGTACTTTGTCACTCTTGAGTTTTACATAATAGACTTTTCAGCATGTAAATAAGTTAAGCTAAAGAACCACAAAGTAAATCCAAAGCAATAATTGTATCTAGTAGATACATTATTGGTAAAAATTGTTTTTTTTTTCCTCCCAACCTGCTTTATACATTTAATATGTTCTTTATTAAAAGGTGTTCCAGGGCTGAGATGCAACTTTTTTTAACTTCTCTAGTTAAAAAAAAAATTCATAACTTAAAATGTAGAAAACCTTGGTTGCCTTAAGTAGCTCTTTCTTCATAGTAAGTGATATACATTTTTGGGGAACGGGGGGATTGGTACTGGGGATTGAATTCAGGGGCACTCCACCACTGAGCCACATCCCCAGCCCTATTTTGTATTTTATTTGGAGACAGGGTCTCACTGAATTCCTTAGCATCTCATTTTACTGAGGTTGGCTTTGAACTCGTGATCCTCCTGTCTCAGCCTCTCTAGCTGCCGGGATTACAGGCGTGTGCCACTGTGCCCCACAGTAAATGGTATACTTTTGAGTGAAATGTTTTTTAAAAATATTTGTTTAACTAAAAACTTTTTAGAGAAAAATTAGGTAAAGTCTAATTAAATGATGTCTTCCATATAATAGATAATGGATGTTTGTCAAGTGAGTGCATTAATAAAGAATAAACATTTGCTTTAAGCATTTGACTATAGGCCATTTTATTTATTTAATTCTTGAGACCATCCTTTAAAGGAGTGATTTTTTTTACACATTTTATACATGGGGCAACTGAGGTATACAGATATTATAAATAAAATATATTAGGCCACCCAATTGGTAGTAATAATTTGGACTTAGATACTAAATCATAATGAATCACATTATGCTGTTACTTAGGTGGAGCTAAGAAAAGTGTTAGGAAGTATTGTCCCATAGAAAATGAGTCATGGAAACAAAATGATAGATTTTTTAAGAGATTGGTTTCCAGACTTGTATCATTACGGGCAGGAAATTTAGCATTTATTCATAGTTTCATGCAAACATGTTTTGAGTTTGAGGGTCTAAAAAAACTTAAAAATTGGTACTATGATACGTTGTCTTAAAAGGAAGTGGAACTATACAGAAAAATGTTCTGATTATGTTCAGATACAAATGCCCCAATTTTGTCAGTCACTAGAATAATCGAAGGGACTGAAGAGGTCGACACTGAAGTTACATTTGTGATTTTGCCTAGGGACTAAAGAAGATGGATCAAAACATGGTTAGTTTTTCCAGCGCCTTTACAATAGGTTGTTTGTTAAGTAGATGCTTTTATCAACAGGCACAGCCCATTTCAGGATGGATATGAGTTTGAGTATTTGGGGCTTGTTTATTTTTTATGGGGTATGTTTAGGAGTGAATTGGGTTACTTTGTTCAATCTCTTTTGGGTTGAGCAATACACATTGCCTCTGGGATAAATGGAATATCTTTGAGAACTGGGGAGTTTTTTTTTTTTTTTTTTTTCGCCCTCTGCAAAACGCAGTGACTCAGAGAAGGCTCAGACCTTTTCTTTGGCTTCATTGGCATAGCACACTACCCAGTTTGGCTGTTGCCCCTGAGCAAAGATGCTTTTGTAGACAAAGAAAGAATGCAAGATGGAAATACAGAAGGAAGAGAGTATATCCATCAGCAGTAACACTGAAATGCCTTGTGGGATGAATCCAGAGACTCTGACACTTACCTGTGGGTCCTTATAGTGATCTGTTGTGCATTTAAATACACAAGTCAGTTTGTTTTGCATAAAGTAATATTAGAAGGTTCTTGCCAATTGCTAGGAATTCTCCAACAAACTGAGCTAATGTCCATGAATATTGTTGTCCAAGTACTAAATGTGTTCCATGTTCAGATGTGGGTTTTAGAGGGGTGGGTACAATAAGCCCTCA